TTTACGGATTTAATTATACAGAAATCGTGAGATGCGGTCTGGTGTGATGTAGGTGCAAAAGAAAAACATTTTCTTTATCGTGCCAACGTTTCGATCTTTATTGAGAACATCTTCAGGGTCTGGGATTTACAAACATTGTTTACATTTAACAAATACATTTAGGATGTGGAAAAGTGAATTTATACAATGCAAAATATATTTTTTTTTATATTCAACCAAAGTATTTCTCTCAATAAAGATCAAAACGTTGGCACGATAAAAAAGACGTTTTTCTGAAACCTACATCACACCAGACCACATCTCACGATTTCTGAATAATTATCGATTAACGGTCACTAATCACCACACATTTTACGGATTTACTTAACAATATGAAACATGAAGATTACTCGCTAAAGGTGGACAGAAATGTTGTCATTGCTTCAAGACGGTACCCTTTCCATAGTGCCCGCCAGATCTTAAATGATGTACGATATTTTGGCAAGGCCTTTATCAACACAAACGATTCGTAATTGTACGCCCCTTTGAGACGACCTGCAGCAACAGCCCACCACCAGCAACTCAGGAGAATATAGTGCAGGGAGCGTCAAGAAGAGAACACAAATTGGAATGCTGTTATTTTTACTGACGAGCCGTTGATTTTTACTGAAGAGTCTACCGAGAACAGGGGATGCGAGCAATGCCCCAGTTTGTGATCCCTTCCGTGCAGTTTGGTGGAGGCAGTGAAATGACCTGGGCTGGGATATACACTGGAGGACAAACTGTACTCCATATTGTTGAATGCAATCTAACCAATATGTCCACAAAATTATCGAGGAATACGTCCCTCAAACCAGGGATCTCATTGGCGGGGATTTTTGATTTCTGGATGGCAATTGCCTGCTGGCAAGACCTCATCAAGGCCCAGTTGTTCATCAATGTTTAGAAAAACTGGGAATTTTCCATCAGCCCCTTCCCCCATTGTATCCAGCCCTCTATCCCATAGAGCACATGTCGGATGCGTTGCAGAGAAGTCTTTTCGATCCGCAGCATTTGACCTGCATCGACTGAGTGCAACGTTGCAAACATCTATGGAGTGAAATTGATCCTTGAAATCCTTATGAAATTAGTGACCTTATTAACAACATGCCTAACAGGCGCACAGAGGATTTAGAGAACAGAGGACATTTTATACGATATTAATTGTTTAAACAATTATTGTGTCCGATAAACAAAATGATGGAATTAAAACCTTTTATTCTGTTATTTTTCAAAACCACATAATTAAATATTCCTTCAGTAAAAACATAATAATTCCCAATAAATTTTAATGCAATTTATAATAAAAATAAACTAGAAATGCTAGAGGAAGTAAATACTACAAAATTGACATTACGCCCTATTCATTTTTGACCAATTTATTTATCACCTTTAATTCCCTCAACACAATGTGGTTTACGCAAGCACCACTCTTATCCTCACAACTCGACAGTGTGGTAGATGAAATATTAAACACATTTGAAATCAAAAAGGTTTGTCTGTGTGCTTTTATTGGTGGCTCACCAATCGACACGAAGTCCATTAGAGCCCGATAATCCCCGCGCAAGCATTCCATTAATGGTGCTCATCGACCTTTGGGTGAGGAACGGTGAAGTTACCACTTCCGTCCTTATGCAATCCTGCCTTCCCGTGGCTGTTAAGATTCCCTTCGGAACTGAAAGACCCATCGCATTTGGTTACCCCATTAAGAGTATCAAATACAAACTGGAGCGGGTGGACTTTCGACTGGGGTGTGGGCAAAACCGGTAATAGTGACCCTACGAACCGTCATGGTTCCGACGGTTTCCATAAAGCCAGTAATGGTCGATAGCCTCTTCACTGAATAAATAATGTCGATTATCACGAACGGAGGATAAACAGGAATAACCCCTGGTATGGGGTGTAACATGAAAAGGTGACGATCATATTCTCAATGTTTTGCCCCCTTGATATTTCCCGAATACCTTGTCCCAACCTTTAGTTACAGGGGTGTTTCCAAGCGCAAAATTATGGTGCAGTTTAGAAAACGTGGCGAAACTTCTAAAGCACAAGGAAGAAATCGACAGTGAATTGCCGTTCAATACGTGATCACTCTCAGAGGTGGATTAGTGAAAAAATTTGAAAAATATTTCCCCAATAAAAGCAAAAAAAAATATATAAGGGAGAACAAAAGTTGAACGCACCTATAGAAAGTTCTTATGGCAACGCTATTTTCTAATAGCAAGTTAATAGAATTAATTACTTTTGATAACAGTATTTAAACGGTTGGAGAACTTACCACATTTTCGTAAATCGAATGTAAATACAGTTGAATTGAATTAAGTTATTCTGCAAATAAACTAACACTGATATCCTGATAGTAATACATCATATCATGGAGAACATTGCACTTTTCTCTTAAACGATAAATTGCTCGAATTAATTTTATATGATATTCTGGAAACAAAGAAACACTCATACCCTGACGTCTGTGGACATGTAGAACATAACACTTTTTTCATACTCGTAAGTTGGTACAATCAATTGTACCATTTCATTTGAAGCATCTCGTTTTTCCGTTAATTCTAATATTATCGTATTAATTGCATTTATGTATGACACCATAAATCCATGCCATGATGAACATTGTTTTTCCTCCAATTTGTAGCACTTTGGTTTCATTTTGTTTTGTAGTTTCTAATTAAACACAATTAATTGTAATCGTAAACAAAAGACTGATTTTTCTGACAGTGATGTCGAACTTAACGGAAACTTGAAATTTTTCACTTTTTCCATTAAGTCCAAACATAATACGACTGGACTTCAGTAAGACACTATTCCTGCCATAACGAACTTTTAACTTATTTTTCTTTAATTTTATCACGTTTTTTCTCCAGATTGTAAGTAAATACAATTAATTGTATTTGGATATTCCGTATGTAAACAGGCTGTTGGCAATACATCCACGTAAATATCTCATTTTTCCGCATACAGTAATACAATTAACTGTATTTAGATATTTCGTATGTAAACAGGCTTTTGGCAATTCATCCAAGTAAATGTCTCTTTTTCCTTATTCAGTAATACAATTAATTGCATTTAGGTGTTCGGTAAATAAACAAACACTGACAGTCCTGATTGCACTGGTGTTCGAACTTCGCGCATTTACGTCAAACATGTTGACATAATTATATTCGGATATTCTTTATGTAAACAAACACTGATATTCCGCTGGTAAATCAATTTAAGATTCACATTGATTATATTTGAGTATTTATTATTTAAAGAAACACTGATTTCATCATGGCAAAAATAACTCCCGTATAACTTCCCACTTTTTCGTCAATCAAAGGTGAACATAATTAATTATCAGGATTCTCCGCAATTTACCGAACTAATAACACAATTTAAAATGATAAAATTACAAATATTTGTAAGAAAGCAATTTCTTTCGCTAGCCTATTTTAAGAAAGAAAAACGGAAATATTTTCACATTCCCTTTTTAAAGTTAAAAAATGTATGAAAATCTTGTAAAAATTTCAATTTTTTAAATAAAGAAATACTGATATAATGATAGTACTGATGTCCAAAATAATTCTTTCTTCTTTTCAGTAAATTAAGTAATATTAATTATTTAAATTCGTGTATTCTTTATGGAAACAAACACGTAAACTTAAGTCATTTGAAGTTCTAGAATCATACTTTCTCGTCGTTGGTAAGATAGTTTCAATCGTTTATCCTTCAAAAAACATCTTATAACCAGAATGAGATATTTTTGAGTGATAAATAGAGGAGATATTTTATATCTAAGCTCCATTTGAAAATAAACTTTAAACTGTTCAATCTAATGTCATCTTATTATTAAATTTTCATATTTCGTTTTTCCCTTATTTAGACAGTTTTATTAATATATTACTTCTAGCTTTGTTAAAAGATAAAGAATTTCACTCATTTGAAAAGGATTTTCTCAATAAAAAATTACAATTTATGATTATTTCACAAAAGACAGAGAATTCTTCATTATTGCTTTTTTCCCTAAATCCTTATTATTGCTTCCATTATTTCAACGTTTTATATTTTTTATTAAGTGATTTAGTTCAATTTTTTTTTTTTACTTGATGTTTACGTTAAACCTTCATTAATTCAAATGGCAGATTTGTCAATAAATTTTGTGACATTTTTTGTTATTCTTAGGGGACTCTAGCCTCAGAATAAAATATTTTTTTCTCTCAATATATGATTATTCTAAAAAAAGCAAAAACTGTAAAATAATCATTAGTTTTTTAAACAACCCTTAACCCTTTGATCATATTTATGGTGATTAGTTTGTCAATCATAAGTTTGAACAATTTGTTTCAACCTTTAGTAAACAAATTGGTTATATTTTTGGCATTGTAGAACTAAATCTTAGTCAATTTATATATGGTGTAATATAATAATTAGTTTTGTTCGCATTGAATCGCCTTTGTGGATATCTGATCTGAAGTGATCTGCCAAAACGCGAATTTTCTTAGATTTTGTCGTTTAGTAAACATATTCGATACATTTCTAGCGTTTAAGAATTAACTTTTAGTCGGTTTTAAGTTGATCAGCTTCCTTTATAAGATTTATCGTTTAAAAAAATCCTAAGGTTTTTTAAAAATTTGCATATGAGAAAGTCTTTTGTGAATTGGTTTGTTAAACAAAACGTTTTATTTAGTATGTGGAGATCATTTTTAGTTTATATTAATGAAAATTGAAGAAGAAGGATAACTCAAACTTGACCGTTAATGTGTTTGTTCTTTCCTTAAAATGTGAACTTTTCAGTTAAACGATTGGTAAAATTTCTATTTTACTTTTCGGTGATTGTACATTGTTTATTGTCGTTTTTCAGTGTTATATTGTAAGGTTTATGTTTCGGTATGAAGTTGGAACCTGGGGGTTGTAAGTATTGAGTTTTCAGTTCAAAGTGCTTTGGTGCTTAACGAAGCTAATCGTGCTTAACGAATTTTCCATTTACTTACGAACACGCGACGCGAGTTGATATAAAGAGAAACCGCCTGAAGTAGAGGTCCTGCCCGTTTCGCTTCTTCTTCTCGACTGGAGGTCCTTGCGCCCGCCGTGGTTGAGGTAGGGCTGGGCGGGGGCGCATGCCCGACACCCTCACTAATCAAATCACTATTACAGACACAACTCGCCGGCTAAGGCTTAATTAACCGTTGTCGATAGTGTTCCACAGTCGGCAAAAATGGAAGAGAAGAACCGTCCATCCGTTATTATTAAGACTTGCCATATAGTGAGAAAGACTACTCGTAAATCAACCGCGGTTCGGGGAAAGAGGTGAGCCTAAATTACATATAATTAAAACCCGCAAGCGTTATAATTTAATAACAAGCGTCAACGCCGGGGTTAAATAGATATTTCCGTGTGAGGTAAATTGTTAAATCAGGTCCTCTTCTTTCATAAACGCTTCATAACGGAAGAAAATTTAATTACGCCGCGTTGCAACTTTAGACCTCCCTGACGGGCAAAATTTAATTTTATGCTCATGAAAGAAAATTTTAGGTACTGAATAAGCATCTATTAAAAATCAGAGTTACCATCATCACGGAACTAACTCCAGTTTATATTTCAAATTGTCATTGCTTCCGTAAACACATTAGTCTTTTCCCAGGATGGACTACCCAACTTTCTTTATGTAATTTACATTTTTTGTAAGCAATGGGATAAGGAATATACCCTCTGTCAAGAAAGATAATGTTAGTACACCGATGGCAGAACACAAAAAGACAGATTTTATTCGCCTAAAAACGGTATCTAGAGCTGTACAACAATACAAAAGGCTGTATGAAGCCATGAGAGCATTGAAGTCAAATATCATCAGTACCAGAATAATTCCCACCTGGAAAATCTATTCAACATGTTCACTGCGTAAAACATTCTTTACTAGCACCCACAACACCCTGGAGTGTGTCAACATCACTGATATGTTGTGAACCCTACTGTGATATAAATGGGAAAAAAATGGACCCTTATAAAAAATAACTATGAAGCAGACTCTTTAACGCCTCACGAAAAAACAAACAGCGAGGAAGAAAATGCGCTATTGAAAAGCCCTGGCCGAGCTATCCCAGTGGAAGTTTTTGAAGGAACAGGACAGTAGAATCCTGAAGTGATTAAAATAATCTAATCTTAACCTAATTGGGCCCATTATTTATAATATATACGTGCACGATCCAGCGCAACCAACAAATTCTACTACTTCTCTGGATCCTGAAGAGTAATGAAATAGTCACACAGGATGGAATTGTTCCTAGACCTGATGTAGCTGAAACAGGCATAACTCAAGAGGTTAATGAGGCTTTGAACACTTCAACAAAGTTTATTTTTTCTAAAAGAAGAAGGAGAAGAACAGAACTGCCAGTACCCAGTAAAAATCCTCCTGCAAAGAATAGACGGGAAATAGAAAATCATGATCAGGTGGGACGAAAGAAGACTACAGTGATGGAATCCTCTGGAAAAAGATGATTCAGGCTTATTCCGAAAACCCTGAAAGTAGCCTGTGAAAAGAACCCTGGCAGTTCTTTTGGAGTTCCTGCAAGCACTACTGATTATTGAGCCGAGCAGTTAATTAAAATAAAGGAGGAAGAAAATATAAAACCAGCCTTCGATGGGCCACTGTTTAGGAAAAAGGTGAATAGAAATAAACTGATGAAGCCATAGAGACATGCCTCCAAAAGTAGTTAATACCCTGAAAAGGAGGTCAAGGTGTAGGTTGTACAGACCCTCATCGAGCTCGGTTAATAGTTAAGGGAATATCCCAAATTTTGATTTGGAAACAACAAACCTCGCTCTCCGCTTGCTCATTCCGAGTGGTCGGGTCCGCATTAAGCAACGAACTGTATGTCGCGCGCAAAGGGTTCCCTGAGCCGAAAAACATCAGCCTGGTCTCCCGCGCGATCCCTAGATAGGGAAGGCCACTATATCTCCCAGAGTATTGAGGCTTCCCCAGAGTAGAAACTTCCGGATCCGCTCCGGCCGCGGTTTAATTTAAAGTGGAATTGCTAATTGAGCAACCGATTCACTATCCATTGCCATCCGCCACTACTCACGCATTCAAAAGGACTCTGTCAGTGTAGTCATATCGTCCTCAACGCTTATACGCTTCGGTCCGCTCTGTCGTATCGCGTGAGGCTGGGTAATAACGATGGTCATACGCAAGTTTCGTGCGAATGTCGCAGATAGAAGACAGCCTCTCCTCCACGTACTTGCCAGGGGTGTCGCCACGACCAACTACGAGTCCATTCCCAGTGTAACAGGGGCTGAACCGTGGAGCAGTTCTGTTACCCCGATTACTCATCGTCAACAAGACAAGAGGATCTTTAACGTCCGCACCTAGCCTATACGGCCTTATCGGACGTTTTGATTCTCAAGATGAGAGCTGACGCACCTCTGCATACGACGGAAAAGTGTTACCGCCGCAGCATTGGTGTAGTGGTGTCCCGGCCCCTAGTAGCCCCGCTCTCCGCTTGTCCACTCCGAATGGTCGGGCCCGCATTGTGCGTCGGGTCGTACGCCGCACGCGAGGGGCTAACGGGCCGAAATACATCAGCCCGTCCCCCCCCTCGCGTACTCCCTAGATAGAGAAGACGACTCTATCTCTCTGAGTGTAGAAGCTCCTCTAGCGTAGAAACTTCCGGGAACGCCCCGACAACGGTTTCGGATTATAGTGGGATTGCTACCCACCCCCTAGATGAGCACTGTCTACGGTAAAAAGGTCCCCTATCGAGCTCAGCCTACACCTGCTGCACGTAATCGAGGGACGCCATAGGTCTAGCCTAGGTGGTCCGATCCTTCGCTTCCCCAAGGGTACAACGCCGGTCATACGCACAACAATGCAAAGCATACTCGAGTCAAAGACTGCCGATAAACTACCCTTTTCCAATCGCTTATTAAGCATTCGAGGGACTGTAGCATGATCATGACGTCCTCAACGCTTACATGCTGTCGTCCGGTCGCAACGTCTCCCGTGAGGAACGGGCCATACGCACGCTTCACGAAAGGTCCCAGATAGAAGACAGCCTCAGTCTAACCATCCCTAACCTGTTACCCCGTAGTACAGATGGTTATACACCCTCCCCGTCTATCCAGACAGGATCTGGTACCCTAACCCTCGTGTGCCTCTGATAAGGCACCCGCCGCCCCATGCCGACCCAAGGTTGACACGAGTACAGCTTGTGCTTTAGAGAGGTTGCCATGCCCTCAGTGTTGCACCATTATTTTGCGCCCGAACCTCCCCTTGTAACCAAGGGTAGGGAGGGGTCACAGGGAAGAATGAAGGAACCTGTTTTGAGGGATGTGGATGAGGACACGAGGTTGTACCACATTGTACCACCCGTCGCGGAATGGCAACAACGAAATGTCTGGGAAGGATTCTCCACTCTAAAGCTGGCTCCGAAGAGCACAACCGGCGAGCGCACTAGTGGCCTGCAAAGATGGCCGAGACAATAAGTTGATGAAATGAATAGTCTCCCCTTCATCATCCTGGACACGACGCCTACATTCTAACGCCTAGTGATGAGAGGAGGACCATTGGAACCAAATGCACAATCTCGCAGTATCCTATACTAAAACAGTCGTAAGTCTTAACAGTTTACTTTTAATTATTGAAGAAAAAATCCATGCTATCAACAACCATCTTACGAAAGAAAATTCACTAACTGGACTAAAACAATTCAAAAATTAATTTTGGAAGATTTTGAAAAAAAAGGAACGCATCAAAGGAAGCAGGAAAACTCCGGATTGTAGCAGAAGAGAACTTAGGAAATATTGGCTCAAACATCACGGTACGTATCGATTATGCGAAGCAGCAGAAGATTCTTCTTCACACTCCCTCTCAAAAGGCTCAGAATACCAATTTCACTGATACATACATGACACATCTACATCGACCCTCGTTGAGGAAAAAAGTAAAAAATTAACAAAAATATGCATTGATTGAAGAAACTACGCACGTAATATGTACACATTTTATCGTTTGATGCATTCAGATTTTTTTTTCATTCTCTATTACTGTTATTGTCACTGTTCATTTAATCACTGTCTCTTCAGTTTGGGATTGAATAGAATATGACGAAACTTTTTCAATCAATAGTTTTTTAGTGGGAGGAAGAAATTTTCCTTTGGAATTGGAATTTACAGTAATGGGATAGATTTGCTTCGTAAACAATGAAAATATTTAGACTTTTGTGAGTAGTTGCACATAATACGTAAAATATGGCGTCCGGTTTTTGAAGAATTTTTGCAATCTGAGCACTTTACTGAACCCCAGATGTCCGTATGTTCCTATTGGTATTAGTATGGAGTTCTAAAGTAGCCTTTTGTTGGATAGTGATAAGTTAGGCCGTTTGTCAAGTAGTCGTGAGAGGATTTTGTGCCGTTTCATCAGTTCTTGTCGTTTAAGGCTCATGTGGGTCCCATGTCAGTCGTTTGTCCACGTAAATGCCTAGGTCGCACCTTGTCCCCTGTCGAAAAAGGTGGCATTATTATACTATAATAGACGAATTATTTTAATACGCATTTGCTCTTGCAAATATATTCCAATACATTTCTCTATAATAGACAAAAAATATTAACAATAAAAAGTTTCTTAATGAGATACATCCGATTTGTGGAATATTTTCTTATTTTAGTTATTGCTGGACTTTGATCCTGTTATGTGTTAGACATGATGTTAACTTTATACGATTTCCAATGATACATTTAAAACTTAAAATAAATGATTATTTGGAGATCGTGAGATGCGGTCTGGTGTGAGGTAGGTTATAGAAAAAGTTTTCTTTATAGTGCCAACGTTTCGATCTTTATTGAGATCATCTTCAGAGCCTGGGATTTATAAACATTTCAAAATATACAAATACAAGCAGGATGTTAATAAATGGATTTATACAATGCTAGAAATGTTAGACTCAATCAAAGTATTTTTACTCACTCAAAATGTTTGTTTTCTGTGTAGATGTGTCATTATTGTATGTGCCAGTGAGATATTGATGTTTATATACGTCGGTTTTTGAAGTGGTAGGGAAGG